CCGCCGCCGGTTTCGCCGCTCGTTCCCGTCGACCCGGTTTAGATTAAGTGAGTATAAATCCCTAAACCCGAATTAGGAGAATTGTGCATTTTTAGACGGTTCGGATAGATTAGTACAATTTAGGAATAAATTGTGGAATGTGTAGTGCGACCGAAGTCGCGGTAGATCAATGTGCCGATTTAGAGAATTAAATTGGAAGCCAAATAACGGGTTGAATAGTGGCTGTCCATTTCGAGGTATTAGCGGATTTTAAAATCGGCAAGTCGAGGACTTAATTGTGTGATTGCTGGGTGTGCCCGGATTGATTGGTGATTGGCTGAATTGTGCTTCAGGGTGCTTAGTGGAATATTGCCATGCCGCATGTTCGTGTGATCGACTAAGTGCGGTGTGCGTTTGGCCAATAAATGGCATTATACTGCCGAGCGTTCTTTCTGAATACCAAATTGAGTATGGGCCAATCGAGTATGTTGATATTATTGTTTGGACATATTGAATCGTACGTTGATTTGGCCATTAGATAATTATGTGCCTCTGTGATTTGATACTCATTGTGCATGTCATTATTGCCTGAGTGCGAATATTTTATGGCCGAGCATTCGTATGCTGAGAATGGGCATGAGGCTGAAAAGTGTGCGAGTATGGCTGCTTGTTCGGACTATATTTATAGGCCTTCGGGTTGATTTATTATTGTGGCCTTCAGGTCGGAATATCTGTTGGCCTTCGGGTCGTGGCCTTCGGATCGGAATATCTGTTGGCCTTCGGATCGTGGCCTTCGGGTTGGAATATCTGTTGGCCTTCGGGTCGATTTATACTTGTAAACGAGCCGCATGTCAGGGTGCATTGCTTGAGACGATTCATGAGCATGGCAATTGTGTGCCGGAGTGTGTTAACCGTGGTGCGCATTCGGTGAATTGTATGTCAGGCTGGCATTAATGAGCATAAGCATGCGTATGGCGTACGCGTGACCAGTGTGTGCGCGTATGTGCCGTGAACATTATTATGAAATGTCTAACCTGCAGGGTCATTGTATGAGTGATCTGGGCTGCGGGCCTAGGTAAATTATTTTGATGTTTATGGTACACTGTTATGTGTGTTTTTAATCGCCTGTCAGGAAGTGCATGTTAGCCTAGTTTAGGTTTAGGGGTTATTACTTGCTGAGATTCGTCTCACGGTTGTTGGAAACCGATATTTCAGACCCCCGGCAGTGAGGATGGCAGAGGCGCCAATCCGTTTCGAGATTCCCCACTTCATCGAGAAGACTATGTCTGTACATCCCATAGGGAACGGAAATATGTACATTAGGTATTATACCTTAGTATGGGTAGATATTGGGGAGTTAGTATCTGAGACCCACGAGTATGTTGCGTGGTGTTATAGATCGTTTAATGGGGAAGAGACCGGGCCCCTCCGGACTTTTGATATCCCGTTTAACGAGTAGGGCGAGGTAGACCCGCAGTGCCCCGATGGACAGGTGATAGACCCCGGCACCTCATACGAGGAGAGTATGAGCTCCGATGGCATACCTGTGGAGTACGAGGTTGATGAGGTCGAGCCGATGAACATGGGGCCGGATGATGATGAGTTAGAGCAGCCTATGGAGGAGGATCCCGAGCCCGAGGAGATGGATGCTGAGGACGAGCCAGCGGAGGCTGAGTCCGAGTTAGACTCGTTAGATTCTGATGAGGAGCTGTCAGACAGTTCTTCTTCGTCAAAGTCTTCTGGTTCTGACCCGAACTGGGTCCCCTAGGTTGACTTTGGTCATAGATAGAGCGGGCTGCACCTTTTTGACTGAAGCCCGTCTTAGCTCAGTAACCTTTGGCCACTGACCCTTTTTGACCTTAGTGGTCGTTGATCGCTTTTGGTGGTAGTCTGTACTCCCCGTAAATGGATATCGTATCTACTTTTAATAGTAATAAAATGCATATGTTTTTTTTTATCTGATGGATTTCTGTATTGTGCTATTCATGGTTAACTTATTTATTGTACGGGTGTATATATACATTTATATATGTTTCTTCCACTTGTGTTTTGATCTATGTATCGTTGGGCGTTGGGTCGACGACGCGTCCTGGGACGTCGCATCAAATTCGACCTTTGCGTGGGATGCTCGTGCTTCGTGGGGTACGGGGCGTGACATTTATTCTCATTGTTGTTTAAACCCCACTTTTCAGACCCCCGACCCTGAAGATGGTAGATGCGCCGCTTCGTTTTGGGATCCTGTATCGCATAGAGCGATCGGTGACGGAGCACCCCGTAGGAAACGGGGAGACTTATGTTAGGTATTACAATATAGTTTGGGTCGACGAGGGCGGGCCACATTTCCGGGCCCATCCTTACCTCGCTTGGTGTTTCCGGGACCAGTTCGGCACCCATGGACCTCTTAGGACCTTCGACGTCCCGTTCGACGTATTAGGCCGGTCGGATCCGCAGGCCGTCGATGGAGAGATCGTGAGTCCCGCTGCCACGCCCGAGGAGGATTCCGGCGCCCAGCCAGTCATCATCGGGATGGACACCAAGTCCGAGGGAGAGGAGCCGATGGACTGGGAGTCTGACATCGAGCCAGAGCCGGAGCCTATGGAGCAAGAGCTTGAGCCGGAGGACGATCCCGGGGTGGAGTCAGTGGAGGCCGAGTCCGAGCCGGATTCGATGGATTCTGAGTCCGAGTCGTCTGACGATTCGTCTGAGTCCTCAGGATCCGACCCGGACTGGTTGCCCTAGGTTTAGCTTTGACCATAGTTAGGTAGGGCCGACACTTTTTGATAGGAGCCCTTTTTAGATAGTGCCTGACCGCCCGAGCCACCTACCCCCTTTTTGAAGTTCGTGGCTGTTGACCCATTTTTGGTTGGCGTATATTTTGTGTGTATTGGATATTGTAAATCCCTGTTTTTAATGCAAGTTGTAATTATTGTATGTATCGCTATCCTTGGTCATGTGTTGTTTTATTATGTACGGGTGTTGTGTTGCTTCCGCATGTGCCTTGTTCTCTGTTTTGTGTTTTGGGTCGGCGACGCGTCCTGGGACGTCGCACTAAATTCGACCTCGGTAGGGTTGTCGCGTGCCGTAGGGTTCGGGGCGTGACATACATTGATTGCGAAACGTAAACTTAATTGCACTTTTTACAATATTTATGACTTAATGACATTTCATCGTACAAATTTGGGTCTTCTGTGTAATTTTCCACTGAACAAAAGAAGCTAAAGACACATGAAAAAATTCAATAGTCAAACTCCATTATTTCCTGAAACGTACAGTGTATGCAACCATATAGCTTGATTATCATGTGCATAGCCTATGATATAGGTATTTGTACAATTTGAATCACAGCTAATCCCAAGCCGATAATCTTAGCGTTATTTGCCTAAATAAAGAGAGCTTTTAATTGAGAGATCTATAGCACTTATCTACTGGAATGGAATTTCTCTTTGTGAAAGAAATAAGAGTGCCTCGTCAAAATGAACATTGTTTGGAAAGCACTGAAAGCAAAAAGTAATGATAAAAACAACCGTGTGTTTACAGATGAAGAAGAAGAAGACGATGCATAAAATTAGATCAGGCTACCGATTCGAAGAAGAGACCGACTCACGCATGTTCGTGCGGGTGCTTTTCGCGGGAGAAGCGTGCTCGGTTGAAGTTTCAGCTCGCGCTCATTTTTCCAACAACAGTTGCAGACACCCATTTATGAGAACTTAATGATATACTGGATGATGTACTCTGTTTCTTCCACAAGAGTAATTCTGATCTAGTAGATAATTGCTTATAGCACAGACATCTCAAATAAATGATCTCACCATAACATACGCTGTGAACATGATAATCCAGCTACAACTTCTTTTGTTTAGTAGAGAATTACACAATTCCCAGACGTTTAGTGTGAAGGGTGACTAAGTCATAAGCATTGTAAAATGTGAAACCAAGTCAACATTTTGAAATCCATGTACCCTAAGTCTTGATTTCCGGTAGGTGGCGGTTTTTTTTTTTATTTATCAAACTGAACCATTTCATTCAATAAACCATTTGGGGTAGAACAAAGTTGATGAGTCTCAATACGTAACAACCAGTCACCAGGAAAAGTACACTTTCTTTGGGCTTTTGCGATCCAGTCTGCAAGTTGATTGGCTTCCTATGGACAATGGACTACTTTGACATCTTTAAGTTGGGCCATATAATTCTTGCACTCTTTAATAACCTAACAATTTGGTAGGTGGTGTTTGGTTGCCGAAATTTCGAACCTATTTTTTTTTTTGGTCGGAGAACTTATATTAAGTTTAGCGCGATTTTGACCATAATCGTGTGGCTTCCAATCAATATTATTGTTTGTATAACTTGTTCATATTAATTAAAAAAAACTCAAACTTGACATAAAATCAAGGAACAATCGATGTTTAAATAAAACCTTAAATCCAATTATAATATCTTAGATTGAATCACTAAAACTCATTTTAATGGCATTGAATCCATCATAGGCGCCAACAATCACGTTTGTTAGAAAGTTCCAAATTTAATGCTCTCTCAGATTTCCGTTGATTGAATGAGAATTAGAATTTTGAAACTGTAGATTTTGGCAACCTGATTTTACTACTTGGCAGTTGTTGGTTTGAGTTATTTTATTGAAATTAAACTCATGGATCTTATTACTCTAATGAATTTCAGTAAATATGGATGATGAATTAAATGTTGATTAACATTTCAGGATGTAAATTACCATTGAAGATCTGATTCTAGATTTTCATTTAAATTGGATTGCACTTGATTTTGCAAAGAATTTGAGTATTAATTGCATTTGATAGCCACAATCAATCCATATAATTCATAATCGACCAAACACACATGTTCCATCATTTGATTGCATGAGTTTGGAAATATTAAAAAATTAATTGCACTTATTGAAAAGTTTAGGATGTGACTGTACTTCATATAAAACGTTTCAGGTGACTCTATGATACTTAATCGTGGTTTGTGTGATGAGGAAGAAAGAAAAAGATTAAAAGGAGACTGAACAATAGGGTCAAAGACCTTAGCTTCACTTCGGCTCATTTCTATTCATAGGTATCCATTACTTAGTCTTCTAAATTGCATCATAAATAACACATGCAAGATGCAAATTCTTCCGAGCACTATAAATGTATATGGACGTGCAATGACTTGTTCCTAAGGGTACACTCTAGTTGAGTTAGACACAAACACAAGCAAGCAAAGCAAACCAAATTATAATCAAACTTATGCTTACAAAACCCACCACGTCCCTTACATGGAACAATGGAAACAACAGTGAAAATTGGGAACAAACAACAGGGCAATCCTTATCGGATCACTGCGACTCCCACAAAGCTGCTTCCGCCACCACCTCTCTATCTTCAGATCTGGGCGAGGCGGCGAATGTCAATGGGGTAAGCGTCGGTCGGGGCCTCGGCGCTGTATGATCTCCTTCCGACAACTATGTTGGCGGCCTCCGACGGGTGGTACGCATCCCAGAACAGATACTCGTTTCGGTTTTGGCACGGGGTCTGAAGGGGAAGGCACGTGATTTGGCCATTGTTCCTACCAACACCGCAACACCCGGCATTCGTGACACTAAAACCTGAAATTTAGCACAAAAAATTAAGCGAAAATGTATTGAATTTCGATGAGCAAATTATAGTACCCGTTGATTGGGTTCACTAGTATCGTAGTCTAAGAAGATAGAAGAAGGTGTACCGAAACTTGTGGGTCTACTGATGAGATCTTGGAATATTCCGTAAGCGTCGACATAAATAAATCTAGCATCGGCGAAATTGTTGTTAAACTGATCAACGAGCGACTTGAGCTTGTTGTTGTATATTTGACATGCGACGTTGATTTTCTCCACGCATGTGGTACCATCAGCACTGCCCTGGGCCAACTCGTTAGGGCTACAACCTATCTGACCCACCCCAATCAGCACCACCTTCCTCGCTCCATAGTTGTACAATGTCTGGAACAATAATTTCGAGGGAGATTAAGAAAATTCAGCAAAAGACACTTCAGGAAATCATGCTATGAAAAATAAAAATTTCGTATAAAATCTCCTTTCTTTCTTTCTTTCTGGCTTTCTTTCGGTTCCTGGTCGAAATTTCTTGTGAAATAGAGGTAAAAGTCAAGATACTAATTAACCTCTTCTTGGCCTTGGTGGATTCATGGCATTACCAAACATAGGGGCCATTGTATAACCCAGATTAATCACTTCATGACTTTTTATAGTGTAAAGATAAGTATGTTTAACAACATGAGTTAGCCTCTGCGCGTAGCTGTAAGAGAAAGGAAAAGAAGTGCTAGACATCATACTGACCCTTAGTTGCTGAGAGTATTGCTGAATGAGCTCATCGGCGTACTGGTCGGGTGTGAACTGGCTGCTTGAGGAGTAGTACTGAGGCATGAAGTAATTGTTGAGGTAGTCGTTGCTTCCCAAGCCCACCGAGTATATGCACTTGCTCAGGTAATTCGCCGCTGTGTCCTCATCGCCCAATATGTTCACCAGTTGCGACACCGTGTTCTGGTAGTTTTGCAACTGCCCTCCGAAGCTTATCCTTCCTCCCTGAAACACCAGTATTGGGTATCAACATATGATCGATTCGTGTAAAATAATTGAATTATTTACTTCAAATTGTCGCTTAATTCTAGCTATTAATAATGGAACCATGGAGGCCAGGCCATATAAAAAATTGTTCACAGGTATAATTATGTCAACAAATTTCGCAGGGTTAAATTTTTTTATTCCAACGTAACATGAAAAATTGAAAAATTAAAAAAATTGTTTCAAACATTTCTCTCACGGCAGTGAAGGGCTAGACATATCGTTGATTTTCGCTAAAATTGAAAAATTGTTCGCTGGTCATAATTTAGAATTTGTTCGCTATTCATAATCAAGTGCAAAATCTAGTTAGATGCGTAAACAAATCGTGGATCCGTGGTGCTAAATGGTTGGCTTAATTAGGCCATATTGGTTTGTTGTGGATATTTAACCAAATTTTCATACGACAATATGCAAAAACATGAAATGTGCTTGATATGTACCAGTTGCTGCCCGGTTTCTGGCCTGATCCCAGCAGCAGCAGATGCATAATTCACTCCCCTAAGAATCGCATCACCGCTCGCAGTCACATACGGAGGAATATAATCATCAAATCCCAAAAGCTCACCTGTAAGATTACCCAAACAGATGATGTTAACCGAATATGAAATTTGAGACAGCAATCACTTTAAAATAAGCGCTCGACTAAGCATGCATGACTTAATTCATAATAGAGGAAAAAATGACTGAACTTACATATCCATTAACAATGCCCACTAAACTTTATCATGAGCGGTCGCGAGATTATGACACATGTCTAGTCCTACATAGAATCCACCTGATTGAAAAAGAATTGCTCCCATGCCATTCAATCGACTACATTGGATCCCATCTCATTTATGAGGCAGCATTCGCTTCACATGAACACTATCAATGTGCCTTTCGTGTTGGGGACTAGAAATGTATACCTAGGTCAACAACCTCAAGTCTTTTTATCACATAAATGCGTAAAGATAGGAAATCAGATCCCCTTCTTGTTTCTTTAAGGAAAAGACTGGTGATCAGCTGTTCTTTGATGGATCTATTTTAGGTTGCTAATTAAGATAAATATTGAAATAAAAAAAATCAAATACCTATTAAGCTGGCTCTCCATGTTATAATAATTTGTCATGATCTAGTATGTTCTCATTGAGTTTTAAAGATGGTATATTATTAAAATGCTCGCTTGGAGTTTGTCACAGTATACGACTCTGAGGACCCTTTCTCGTAAAACTTTCTTAGTATACCTTTATATTGCTGTTGATCAAACCATGTAAAGAAGAAATCGAATTGGCCATCAAGCTATAAGAAAATGAAGAAATAGAAAAGACAAGGAAGGGCATCTTGCATGCGACCTCTGAAGTGCAAGGTATCAACCTGTTCCTTTGATCTTATGAACAACTTGTCCCTTTGCTCAAAGCACAGCTGGTCCAAAAAGCCAAGCCCAAAGAGAGAAAGAGAAAGAGAGCTTACCGATTACATCGACTGTGGTCTTGCCATTAGAGAACCTCCCGGTCGGACCATCAGCGAAGTCGATGCCGTATGGCAAGTAGTTGGCTCTGGCCAAGGAACTGAGCTGGTTGTTGTTCCCGTTGTCCACCAACGAGTCCCCAAATATGAAGTAGCACGGCACTTGCGGGTCTGCACTCAATCCATCACTGTTCAACATCGCCAGCAGCAGCACACTCATCAAGCCCAAAGCCCACCCTCTGCTGCTCATCTCACCCTCCATCACTAAGCTCAGATCTCTCGGGCGATAAAAGAAGAAAGGTTGGGCTGAGCCAATGAATTAGTAGTACAGTGTGCTATTGTGGGTTGGTCTTCACTGATCACACACTCAATGCATGTAGCTCAACGTGATGTTTGAGCTGAGTATAAATAAGAGTGTTCAGTGAAGCAAGCGTCTACTGCTCGTTGTACAGTTGAGGAGGGAGATAGATGGAGAGCATTAATTTCACGCGGACTTAACGTGAGGAGAGACGACTGATTGATGACTCTCTCTCTCTCTCTGCAATAATATTGCAATGAAGTGATCATGTCATGCAGTCCAATGCATGTTAGGGTTTTGGAACGAGTCCAACTGTTGAATGATGAAAATTTAATTGGTGTCGGTAAGTCAGATTGGTTCAGACATAAGTCCATCATGATCGTCTTGCACCACAGTTATACGTAATATTTTCTCCTTGAGTTGGTTTTTTAAACGGCGGGCTACGGCTTTCGAGAGCACCTACGTGGTGGGTTAGGCACACACGGTTTAAGCTAGACTCTCCATATCATCACATGCCAATTAATAACTTTACATTGTACTAGCCATTAGATTTTTTATTTATATCTTATCATATTTATGAATTTAGCAGAACTCCAATTCATCTATCTAAAACGGGTTTCCTCATCAAATAAAATGAGTCATTAAGATTTGCGAGATTTCATCAAACTTTCAATCCATATTTAGTCGTATGGAAATATGAGGGGAAAAGTGCCAAAAAAGTCCTAAATCTTTTACATTAGTGCCAATTTAGTCCTAAACCTTTTTTGGCGCCAATTCAGTCCTAAACCTTTTGTATTGGTGCAAATTTAGTCATAAACCTTTTTTTTGTGCCAATTAAGTCTTAAACCTTTTAAATTGGTGCCAATTCAGTCCTAAACCTTTTGTTTTTGTGTCAATTTAGTCCTTCCGGTCAATTTTGATCGGAATTTGCCGACGTGGAGGCCTGCCGGCCGGCGGCCGGTCACCGGCGTCGACGTGGACAACTTTAATAATATTTTAATATATTTTTGATTTTATTTTTTTTCCTTTTTTTTCTTTTTTTTTCACGTTTTTTTTTGTCCCCCCCTCCTTCCTCTGGCCGGTCACCGGCCACTGGCGAGGGCGACGGCCTCGCCAGATCCGGCGAGGTCGGGCCTCGCTGCGGCCTCCGGCGACGGTTCGAGCATTGCCATGGTCGGGCGAGGCCCGACCTCGCCGGATCTGGCGAGGTCGAGCCTCGCCCAACCAAGGCGAGGCTAGAGCCCTCGTCGGAGGCCGCGTCGATGGCGAGCCTCGCCGGATCTGGCGAGGTCGAGCCTCGAGCCCTTGCCGGAGGCCGCGGCGAGGGCAAGCCTCGCCATGGTCGGGCGAGGCTAGAGCCCTCGCCGGAGGCCGCGGCCAGGGCAAGCCTCGCCATGGTCGGGCGAGGCCCGACCTTACCGAATCTGGCGAGATCGAGCCTTGCTTGACCAAGGCGAGGCTCGAGCCCTCGCCGGAGGCCGCGGCGAGGGCGAGCCTCGCCATGGTCAGGCGAGGCCTGACCTCGCCGGATCTGGCGAGGTCGAGCCTCGCCCGACCAAGGCGAGGCTTGAGCCCTCGCCAATGGCCGGCGAGGTCGAGCTCGCCGGCCTCTAGCCGGTCGTCGGACCGGCGACCGGCCAAAGGAAGGAGGGGGGGACCAAAAAAAATAAAAATTCAAAAAAATATTAAAATATTATTAAAGTCGTCCACGTCGGCGCCGGTGACCGGCCGCCGGCCGGCAGGCGTCCACGTCGGTAAATTCCGATCAAAATTGACCGAAATGACTAAATTGGCACAAAAACAAAAGATTTAGGACTGAATTGGCACCAATTTAAAAGGTTTAGGACTAAATTGGCACAAATGCAAAATGTTTAGGACTAAATTGGCACTAATGCAAAAGGTTTAAGACTTTTTTGGCACTTTTCCCGAAATATGAGTCAGATCAAAAAGAGAGTATAAGGATCCGCTAAGCTCAATAAGAAAAGGGAAAAAGAGAGGAAGACATCTCAGTCATCGAAATTCAATATGTTGGTATACTTTCTTCTTAAGACGATATTGTCCGACCTTGAGAAGCTTTTGGTAGGGGTGAGCATGATCCGGGTTGGGCCGGTCCAACACCGAACCGTGAGACCAACCCGCACAATATTGGTTCCTAATTTTTGGGATCAAGGACCGACCCTATTGAGCTTAGGACCGAGGACTGGACCAACCCTATGGGTCCTGTCCGGTTCCAAAGTCAACCCGGGACCAATCGATTTTTTTTATGTTTCATTTTTTTTATTCCTTAAAAGGAAAAACGGTACACTTTGAAAATACATATCCATCAACAATGCAATATTGAGTAATCAAACTATGGACTCCGGTACAAATCAAATAAAAATCTAAGATAAGGCAATGACAAAAATCTCCACTTGATAGTAAACAAACACGTGAAATAAAATTAAAAAATAAAATGGTCAAAATACATAACACAAATCATGAATTATACAACTTCATATCTTGTTCATTCTCAAAAGATTGCTTCAACTTTTGAACACCTGAAAGCAATGCAAACAACTTCATATCTTTTTCGTCCGTGAGGCACCGAGAGGAGATGAGTTGCGTTCGCCATTCGTGAGGCGCCGAGGAGAGCCAAGTGAGGCCACCTGCGTTCGTTGTTTGTGAGGCACTGAGGTGGACCAAGAGAGGCAAGCTGGTTCATGAGGCGAGCGAAGAGAGGCAGATCTAGTGAACAGCCACAGAGAGACAAGGGAAGAGAGGCGATGCTCAATAGTCAATAGGGTTTCTATTTTCAACGCCAGAAGAAGAGGAGGGAGGGGCCCTAGGTTCTTTGGAAAACAAATAAACATATTTTTATATTTATATTTTTATATATACTGGGTTGGTCTGGGTTCGACCAACCCTAAACTCTCAGGACTAAGGACCAACCCGCACAGTACGGGGTCGAAGGGTCCCAAGACCAAGGACCGACCTAGTTCCCTTGGGAATCAGACCAAGATCGGCCGAGTTAGGCCGGTCCAAGGTCAGTCCAGGGTCAACCTTAGACCGTTGCTCACCCCTAGCTTCTGGTCCGGTAGGGCCGTAAAATTCACTACCGAAGGATATCAATCTAATAAAAGAAATTAGATGTAGTTCCTCAAATGTGTGATGGTTATTATGTAGATGGTTTGTTCTTGTTTGTCCTTTAGTTGTAAGCGCCTAGCATTTCTACATACAAAGTACAGAAAAATTCGTACTTTAGCTACCTCTATGTATCTTAGCTTTTTTTTTACCTTATTCATGAGTTAGTAGTTTATTAACCCAAACTTTTTCTTGCTAGAGAAGTTACTATTCATGTAATAAGGAAATAACCTACAGAGGGCTTGCCTTTACTCATATGAGGTGAACTTTCCATGATCATCACGGGAGAAAAAGGAAAGGTTATTTCCATAATAATCAGGAAAAAAAAAGGATAGGGTGAATACCATGAAAAATCTCAAGTACACCTATTATAAATTTACCAAAACCAATATTTTGACCATCCAAAACCCCAAAGTGGTAAATCTGTAACAAATTTACTTTTTGTTAGTTTCCGTTAAATTTTGCCGTTAAATTGCTGAGTTAGATGACATGTGGTAGTTTAACAAGTGTGTCAGTTTGGGGTTTTACCTCCGTTTGTTATAGGTATACCAGTTTGTGATTTTTCGTGATATTAATTCAATTTAACGGAAACTAATAGAGGGTAAATTTGTCATAAATGTATCAATTTGGGATTTTTTGTAGTCAAAAAATTAGCTTTTGGTAAATTTATCACAGGTGTACCACTTTAGGGTTTTTGCGGTAAAAAATTTAGTGTTTGGTAAATTGGTCACAAGTGTACCAGTTTGGGGTTTTTCATAATATTAACCCAAAAGGAAACTCGCCAATTTTGATCTCTGTTTGCATGGCAAAGATTGATCATATCCTAAGTCAATTGTAGCGTGTCTAGATTCCAATAATCAAATTGTTCTTTCCATGAGCTTTTCACCAAAATAATTATTATACTTTACTATATCTCACTTTGGAAGCAAAGTTGGACCCTATACCAATTTTGATTTCTCATTGAATTAGTCTTGATTTTTCGTTTCCTTTGCAACAAGAAAATGGTTTCTAGTTTTAACTTTTCACTCTCTCGATTGAAAGATTGGACCCTTTGGCCCGTGGATCTCAACTAACCCTTATTGTGTCATTTAATGCCTGGCCATGAGCCACAAATGAAGAAGAAAAAGACATATTGCCTCAATTTTGGCTTCATTGTTCGTCAAAATGGAGGGCACAATAATGGATAGTATTGTAGAGACAGCTATTCTAAGTTGCGCATGTGGTTGTATACGAGTGCTCCAGCTATTTTGCATTAGGGACCTCTTATGTTATCACCGAACTCTATGATTAAGGGTTCTGTCAATGTACTTGATTGACTTTCAATCACATTGGATCATCATATGGTTCTATACATTATGCATTCCAGTTCGATTCAAAATTTACTAACTTCAATTGGGTTGGACTTCGTTCACGGGCTCAAACTCTAGGCGTAATTGTAACAAACCATTAGGAATTTACATTCCATTACTGAACACAATAGTCTTCCAATGAATAACTAACGGATAGTCACAAGCAAGAGAGATGCATGGGTGGACCTATGGAGTTTGTTGGATCATGTGAGGCCCACATAGGTCCTACCATATCTAAGGGTGCATGTGAACTCGGGCCTACTATGCTGGCGGAACTCGGTTTTTCGCCGCAAGCAACGACAGGCTTGCTCTCAACCCAAAACGCTCCTTCTGTTTGCTTCTTCCTCTTCTTAACACAAACTAAGTCCAAAGGTTCCTAGGGCGAGAACTATTGGATCATCGATCCGGCAAGAGGGCTTACCAATAAATGCAGATTTTCTCTATTAAAACTAAGGCTGATTGTCAGTACCAGACGGCGAATCAAAGGCTCTATCTCGAAACACTTTTCATCTTCCTAAGTTATGACCTGATATAGTGAACCCACCATGGAGTAATGAGAGACTTGGTGATTTGTTTGCAGCATACTCTCCAACTCTCCCATTTGCAACAACGTATACAAACACAAACAGTCCGAAAGCACCTTTCCCT